CTCAGCAGTCTGAAGGAGACGGACTTTATCCAATAATAACCAATTCACTGTTATGAGTCTTGAGAATACAGACATTATTTGATAGTATCTTGTGTTGTTTCATTCAATTTATCGGGGCTTTGAACTTTAAAAAAATAAACATCTTGACTTTCAATATAAGTAAGCAATGCCTTGGTAAGTTTGCTTGAACGGCCGGCGTAGGCTCCCTAATTCCATTTTGACGATAAGGTAGATATGCTAAGGCAATCTCTCATATACAACAAGGCAGAATGTACCAGGCAAACGATCGTTCACACGTAAGTTAAATGTTGAAAGGGAGAAACATACTAGTAGTGTCACCTCTGGATCAATGTACTAGCAGTTGTGATACCAACGATAACTGTTGTTCATATATATGCATCAATCATTGGAAGCTGTACTGTTAATTATCCCAGCGTATCCCACTTGTAGATGTTTAACATTGTCCCCTAATGTGATTTATGTAGGTAACTTATGTACGTTGTGTTGATTCAGCGGTCTCAGTCATTGACGTTAGATGTTTAACATTGTCCCTAATGTGAATTATGTAGGTAACTTATGTACGTTGTGTTGATTCAGCGGTCTCAGTCATTTAAGTTAGATGTTTAACATTGTCCCTAATGTGATTTATGTAGGTAACTTATATACGTTGTGTTGATTCAGCGGTCTCAGTCATTGAAGTTAGATGTTTAACATTGTCCCTAATGTGATTTATGTAGGTAACTTATATACGTTGTGTTGATTCAGCGGTCTCAGTCATTGACGTTAGATGTTTAACATTGTCCCTAATGTGATTTATGTAGGGAACTTATGTACGTTGTGTTGATTCAGCGGTCTCAGTCATTGACGTTAGATGTTTAATATTGTCCCTAATGTGAATTATGTAGGTAACTTATGTACGTTGTGTTGATTCAGCAGTCTCAGTCATTGAAGTTAGATGTTTAACATTGTCCCTAATGTGATTTATGTAGGTGACTTATGTACGTTGTGTTGATTCAGCGGTCTCAGTCATTGAAGTTGTTAACTTGTATACCCTGTACCTTTAACTTATTTTTTTCTTTTCGATGAATTGCTTCCATGAACTTACAGTATGTTCGGCAGTAGCATCTTCTCCAGTAACAATGCACATACTCACACCTAGCATCTTCCCCAGTAACAATGCACATATCCACACCTAGCATTTTCTCCAGTAACAATGCACATATCCACACCTAGCATCTTCCCCAGTAACAATGCACATATTCACACCTAGCATCTTCTCCAGTAACAATGCACATACTCACACCTAGCATCTTCCTCAGTAACGATGCACATATCCACACCTAGCATCTTCCCCAGTAACAATGCACATATCCACACCTAGCATCTTCATATCATGCATATTGCCGTTAGCTCATTGAATATATCAGCAAAACGTTTCTGTCCATTGTTGACACAGACAGAGTTTAAAATAATGTTTCATTTCAATTCTTTTCATTTATAGAAAAAACCGGAGGTCTAGGATTAGTTTTATAAAATTTATATCGAATATAAGAAAATCAATAAAGTTGAACGCAACAACCAAATCTATGTTTGGAATGACGCTGAACACTGCAAACAAATATTTTTGGAACAAGCTTTATCGCGACAGCTTAACGTTCATCTGAAAAATGATTTTTCATAACTCGCTTATGAGACCTTTCATTTACTAGAAAGATTTAACCAAAAGCAAAACCCCGCTAATGACCTTTGCAGAAATCATCTGTCGAAAATATTGTTGATTTTGTCTGAAATATAATTTTAAAAACAGAATTTGAGTGGCGCAAAATTTTAATGAATAATACAGTTAATGAAAAAACCTACCTATACATGCATTCATGAAGTATCCATGTATTCACTATTATCGAGAAAGATGTAAGAAAATATGTCAAATCTCCTGTATAAATTAAAAAGGTATCCATTTCACATGTGATTTATGAAACAAAATAAGTAGTCTAGAACTAGTTGATAAATATTATTTCAAAAAGAAAAAGACAGTCAGTACCGTTTGCAAAACATTACCAAGAAAGCAGGCGTAAAAAGGGAAAAAACAGGTTTTCTCTAACATTCGTCTCTTTAAGTCATCTGACTTAAATGAAACGTTTTATATGTATCACAAGAGTCTCCTGCCTTTTGTCTCAATATAGTGTATTTTACTGATTATCACATTGCGTTAAATGTGTGTAGTGTTATATCAAATTGGTGTGACTTAAACGGCAGATTGGTTGAGTTACACATGTTTAACTGGTGTAATGGGTTAAAAGCCATGACATATGGAACGTTTCTGTTTAAAGAATCGTTCCCTTTTGACTTTGAGATCTTCCATTTCAGACATTTTTTCGCAATGTAGTATTACAATGAATACATAAACATTATAAAACTTTACGAGCATTCAAACTGTATTAAAAAACAAAATAACAAACTTTGTGAAGTATTGTTGAATAACATTTGTGTATAGATCAGCAAGTTGGTAGCTGTGTGACTTTTGCATATAAACTGGCAAGTTGATCACCTTGATTTAATCACTAAGCGGACGGACTTGTCGTTTGTAAAAACAACGATGTTGATCACAAACAAATGTGGTACAAAGAGGTTCCACAGCTCGCTATCACGCTCAATCATGTACAAAGAGGTTCCACAGCTCGCGATCACGCTCAATCATGTTCATGTACAATGGAATGGCAACAAATAGTGAAATACATTCAAGTCATTGACAGCTAGGATTTTAATATAATTATAGTGTATATTAATAGTTTTATCTTGTTAACATACATTTGAACCCAAACTTATAAACACGTGCTGTCACTGGCTAGGTCATTAATTATCCCACAGGGGTACTTATCGATGAGCACTTGTCCCAGTGGTATTTGTTGCAGTATTGTTGAGAATGCTCGTCGTTGTGTCGGTGGATGTAAGAAAGCCATTACATCACTGTATCCCTACCTGATATATTACTATATACAGTAATTCACTGTCTGATGCGATGTTAGCGACAAGTAACCTTTACGTAAAGAGCCATTATCGTCCCGAATAACGTTTGCAACGTGATTCTGTTTGGCAAATTGATGGTAACCTTGGTCTGAAATATCTCACACACGCAACTGCACGTGTCCGTCTGTCCGTCGCATCGTTCGTGCCGGAGGTGAGTCAATCATCCCAGTATTTGTTGGTTATACATTCCTTCTGTTGTCTGTGGCTAATGTTACGTACAGACGATCACCTTTACTGTTAGTAAACTACACGCTAGCAGTAATGAGGTCCGATCTCTAAGAACAGTGCTACTTTAACTTAATATCAACTGCTTTTTTCATTTGAAAAACAAAACAACTAAAAACATTGACATTCATTAGAAATGAATATATAAACTACAAACTGTATGCTGTTACATTTTTTTGTTTGCGCAATCTCACGTTAGGTTTTGATACAAAACTATGTCCGGACGGTCTGAGCAAAACAGTAAAACGTTGCCAGCCTACTTTTTAATCAAGAGTGTCAGGTTTTATTTAGCCTCTACCTGTATATGATGACCCAATGGAATGACCAAAACCATTTTAGGGTTTTAAGGTATATACATCTGTACTCTGCATAATTACCCGAAGCTGTGTATGCATAAAAGTACCCACAGCTTTTTTTCGGTATATACAATGTTACCACAAAAACAACCATTGTTAATCCTTACGATTTATAAAACGTCAGACACCAGATTTTAGTTCACAGTTCCTTATAATTCAATGTAACATCACAGACAATATTTATTTAGTTTTGAGATTAAAAGTTATTCATTTCTGACAAAAATGATAGCGTTTTGCACAAAACATAACTTTGCGCCTTAATTTCATCTCTGACTATGACCATTCAGACGTTATAGTTAGAAATACAACGCCGAACATTGCGGAACGCCGAACATTGAGGCATACGATGTCCGCACTTTTTGTGTTGTCTTTCTTTTTACATGTAAACTATACGACAAACCCTGCAGAAGTCTGCTATCATTTGAAGAATAGCAAAAAATAAATTATTATGATAATTCCTTTAGAAAGAAAAATAATTATCTCATTTGTGTGCGCGTATGAATAGGTCTGTCTAAGTCAAGAAAGGATGTAAGAAATTTCTTTTTTGGCCTCCAGATCGGAATACCTCCATGTCCACAGATAATGGAAAATCCTATCAGAAACCTCGGGTCTTGATAAGCATTCTAACGTTGCAAAAACAGGATTGGGACATCGCGATAGGTTAAAGGAAAAACAACGTCCATCATTCCGACAGTCAGTTGTTTTTGTCATGATTTATTGCGTATGTTTTGCTTTTTGACCTTACGGGTAGACAAGAAATACAACATCTCCCTGTGAATGAGGTATATTAAGGACTGGTGATTCAAACATTCTAAATTCCCCGGGATGTTTTGCTACATTTCATCCCTATAATTTGAATCATATTATATATATCTCACCAATAGGAAAAGACTCTTTTAATCACTGAAAGGCCATAAAGTATTTGACTTTCCTCTAATTAAAATCAAAATAGTCCGACGTGCCATAAATATGAATATTTATTTCGTTCAAAACCTAAAAAGAATAATATTCCCGAAAATATATTACCAGTTAAAAATGTAGCAGTGATAATAAACTTCAAAACCGTGATGTTGTCATGAATATGGAGCAAGTGGTTATAACCATTCATATACTTGAAAAGTACTAAAATACAATGCTTGTAAATTTGTTAAGTAAACTACACCTACTTTTTGTTTCTCAATATGTTGTAATAAAGCCTATTCATTTGATTTTTTTACCCTAAACACGGCAAACATTTAATTCCTTCACATGTCTAGATCGTGGAATTATGTTCTATGTAAATTTACTTTTCTATTTCTGGGTCAAAATCTCGAAAATTTAAGCCCAAATAAATAACCAGTAATAAGGTAGTAATATTTGTTGATAAGCATACTGAATCTTTCTATGTTGTAGGTCTACGTTGGTATCTCAGCCTGTTTCATCGTTATTTCAATATTCGTGCTGTGCGCCAGTACACACCCTGCCTTCCAGAGGGAGCTGGAAATTTCTGAGTGGAAGGAGTACTTCAAGAGCGAACCAGGGAAATTTGACGAAATGTTCGAAAACAAGAAAGTGTCCATTGCCAAACCGACACTTCCACCGGGGAAATCTGGAAACGCCGATATCTCGAATAATCCAGGTCACGGTAACAAAGGAAGTGCGCAACCTCGAACTCGAGAGATTGTAGGAAGTGCGCAGACTCCAATACGGGAGAAACGTGATGATGATGGTGAACAAATAGCGAACGAAACAATGTCGACAAATGAAGTGAAAAATTTTACGAGATCCTTGCCAACGAATTTACATTCTCGGTATCATTTCCTGGACATCGTAGATTATGTGATGGTGACGTACTTTTCGCTCGAGTTCGCTCTCCGGTTGCTCTTCTGTCCTGTCAAGAGGCGTTTCTTTATATCTATTCTGAATATTGTAGACATTGTTGCTTTATCGTCCGAATGTTTAATTATGATATTCGAAACAATTTTTCCAAAGGAAAGATTCACAAGTTTTTCTCTTCTCGATATTGTAGAATGCATACAGATAGCCCGAGTGTTTCGATTATTTCGTCTTATCAAAAATTTCATAGGGTTTCGCGTACTTGTATATTCCGTGAAAGCCAGTTTCGCTAACATGATGTTAATGGTCTTCCTGCTGATGGTGGCTGCGCTGATATTTTCCACCTCCGTATTTTACCTCGACCGGGATCAATTTCCATCGATACCAGACGCCATTTGGTGGGCTATAATAACTATGACAACAGTTGGTTATGGCGACATGCATCCCGGGACTATGGCGGGTAAAATCATCGGATGTCTTTGCGCAGTTTCAGGTGTGTTTGTATTAGCTGTTCTCATTCCTGTTCTCGTCACCAATTTTCTACTATTTATTGGTTTCGCCCGCATTCCCAAGAGAGACAAGGAAGGGCTGGCTTCCATGGTGAGGAAAGAATACGAAATCAGAGAGTTCAATAACACCAAGTCAAAGGTCAGAGTTCAACTATCGTGTCCATAATGGCAGCAGGTATACTCTAACACATCATGGTGTCAGGGAGTACGCACATGGATGGTGTAACTAAATAAATGACGAGTAATGAATCGTTATTATATATGTTATGTCGTCTTCATTGGCCTAACAATTTCATTTTGTGTCTTAAAGATAAAAATGTTAATCCACAAACTCTTGATGTGTATGTCAAGCAGCGTGCTCACAAGTAATAGGAAGAAATTAAAAGTGCATGAAAATACATACATGGAAACGTCATTATTCATGAAGTGTAAAAGTGTATAGTAACTGGACAGCCATATGCCGATACGTAAGTAATGTATCTCATCTTCAAACTTACAAATAGAGTCAACGTCATTTCGGAATTGGTCGGGATGTTCAAAATAATAAAAATTGGCACGACCACTCTTCAGAAATGATTGGGAAAAAGCTTTTACATTGTCTTAGAATCACGAAGCATCCGTTTCTGTTCAATGGTTTATATACAGCTTTTTCTGTATTTAGCTATAGGAGAACAAACTTTGACGTTTATTATGTTTCAAAATTCATTCAACATTACAGCTTTGAAAAAAATAAGGTAAATAACTTGTTTATATTTAATTATGAAACTAATTTTTGGAATCGACATTTTTAAAGAACTTTAAACTGAGATAGCTCTGAGATTATCGTTTCTCATTCTCCTGAAAATTGGCACTGAATTCTATCTCGAAAAATACATCCAAGAAATGTGTAATTGATTCACTTTGCCTATATGTTCACGTCAGATTAAAGTCAGTGCCTAAAATGAACAGGAATCCAAGTGACATTGGCCCTGTCGTATATACATAGTTGTCTCCAAGAAAGCGAAATGAGATTCATCTTCATATTTTCTCCACTTTTTTACATTATCTTATCTAAGATTACATGTATCAGGTATGCAATTCTAATTTTACCTTCGATGTTGTCTTTTTGATAATATTGATAGATGCTTTGGAGACGGATCCAGGACTTAGTGTTTAGTGGGAATGCAAAGAAAGATGACAATTTGCATAAGCAGCATAACCTTAAATATATTCCGAAACAATAAAAAGAATGGTAAACAGTTTCTCGTCAATCCCCCTTTTCAAAAGACGTTAAATATTTTCAGGCAGAAGGAAGCAAAAAAACAACGGATTTTAAGCCTGCCCTCCCCTACACTCCTGGATCCGTTTCNTGCTCCAAAGAGAAGATAACTCTGCAATACGCAAAGACGGAATAGAGTACGTGGTGACATATTATATTTCATTACTTATTATCTTTGTTAGACATTGGTCACTTTTTGTAGCTGTTTTAACGAAGACGAAAAATACGCTGCAGTCACCTCATCGCGAGAACCGTTACAGTATTGTGGATGGCATAAGTACTTTCCGAGATGGAAACTTGCAGTCTGGATGTTACAGTGTGGAACCTCGTTTATCCGTACAATGGTATATTGTTAGCGCGGATATAAACAGTGGAACCTTAAGGAGCCCTACAAATACAATGGAGCTTCACTAATGAATAAATTTACATTTAGTAGTTTAGAAATATTGCAGCCGATGCTCGAAACTCTAGATTATAGAATAAAACTTCCATTGTTCGTCTCGACATCTTCATTGGACCTTCATAAGCCTTTATATATTCAATGGATTAGTAGTAGTTTAGAGATATTCAGTGGATTATTAATTGTTACAGTTAATAGTTCTGACATATTCATTCACCGAAACCTCGTTTGTCTGTACATGTACATTATCTTAGTCCGAACCTATTCAGCGGATCCTTGTTAATCTGGACAAATACATTGACAGCGAATCCTTGTTAATCCGGACAAATACATTGAGTTGTGTTTTCAACTTGACCAGCTGTTATGAAAGTGATAAAGCCATTGTATTGTGAACAAAAAAAAAGGTGTAAAGGGAGGTTAACGTAAACCTTTGAATTGAAGGTGCTAACATGCGTTTATCACTGTTTGTTTATCATGAAATTAATGAGCAAGCGCTCTAGACTGCAGGGGTTTATCTGGCTACAAAGGCGGCAATAACACGTTCAAGGTATACGCCTCGTTATTAAAAAATGCATCTCATTTTCAAAAGAATTCCCTAGTCAAGGTCTGTTAAATGTTTTGAATAAATGGTATTTAACGTGTTAAACGGATGGCTGGAACATTTCAAAAGTACAAATATTTGCGGTAATATCACTTTGTTTGATAAATCCTATATCGTGCTACAATGTAATTATATCAGTATTAATCAAAAGCTATAAAATTGCATACAAAACATATATAATGTGTGAGGCATCATTTTTATCAGCTGTCTACAAACTCTCTTAATTAACAAATTGTTAACAATTGTTTACGGATCTTTTATGATAATGTATCGGTACATCATGTACAACAGAAATAAACAGTCTAAAATTAAATACTCAAAACCATCTAAACATTACCATTTCTGAAACACCCATAAAATGTGTTTATGTGGAGCTCTCCTTGAAGGGAGGTTCATACCAACAGTTAAGTAGCAACTACGATGTATAGCCTTAAGGTTCATGATAGAGTGCAAGGTCATGTAGCACGGGGTCGTGTAGTACAATGACATGTATCACGGGGTCGTGTAGTACAAAGTCATGTAGCACGGGGTCGTGTAGTACAAGGTCATGTAGCACAGGGTCGTGTAGTACAAGGTCATGTAGCACGGGGTCGTGTAGTACAAAGTCATGTAACACGGGGTCGTGTAGTACAATGTCGTGTAGCACGGGGTCGTGTAGTACAAGGTCATGTAGCACCGGGTCGTGTAGTACAAGGTCATGTAGCACGGGGTCGTGATACCCTGTAACTATGTGTATGATACAACAAGTGCATTTTCTCTAACAAGTGCTCAGTAATCTTTTTATGCAATTAATCACTTTGTATGTACATAGCTGTAAGATAATTAAAACATCTCTAAAATTCTACTGCGTGGTTCACATTTTTTTTATTATTTTCAATAAACGTAATACAATAATAAGATTTCACCTTGACGATCAATATTATCATATAATATCACCATATTCTCATATAATGCCACCATGTTCGTAAGAACGACTCTCAGCTTTTATACACTTACTAAACAGCGGCATCCAATACTCGGAACACTGCACAGAACCCCATTAAAATACCACAGACCAAATAAAACAGGAATTTCACGGGAGTGGATGTGTCGCCTGCTCAGCGGTTTTAGTAAGAAAAGTGTTTTGGCTTGACAGATATGCCAAAACGCATAAAAAACTGATACTCGACAGAAAAACAAGAAGCATATGCTTAACATTATTGCTTCTAGCATTAACGTACAAAATTTGAAAGGAATTGATACTACACAATGCCCTTATTTGGCAATAAAAGGGGCACAATTCCTCCAAAAATGCATGTAAACTTCTGCGCGAGGTATATTAGTACGCAATATGTGTACCGAAGGGAACTCAAGGTATCGCGCGGAAACCTTGTTTCGGACGACGCAACCGACGAAACGACAAAGTACTACCTATATGTCGCCTCGCGTTGCAGGCGACACAAAATCTGCACTGACCTCCAGTGAAATAAAAATGCCAGACTCTCATAACCACACCTGAAAGACTAATGAAATCATCTCACAGAACTCCTTTAAAACACATTCATATACTTCTTTAAATGTATCAGATTCATTAAAACATGCAATAAAACATGTTTATATATAAACACAAAAGCGTTAAAACATCGCACAAAGAATTATAGAATTATCAGATTCTTTGAAATACATCAGACCCATTAAAAACGTCACCTTCATTAAACATCTATAAGACTGCACTATCATTAATCACGATTTACTCATCACAACCTATCACATTACTTTCATACTCTCATTAAAAGACCTCACATTCTGATTCAATATGTCTTAGACTTTAAAACGCTGTTTTATTAAGATACATAAGCGTCAGCCAAAACGTATCACATACTCATTAAAAACAGTGAGATTAAAGACCAACAAGTACACACTTAAAATATACTTATTTGGCGGTATTCTTTTCAAGAAAAACGAAATATATGGTTATACAGTGTATCTGTATTAGAAATAAACTTTGCACCAATTCCTCATTACATATGTAGATGGCGAGTCTAATATTTAAGTGCGTTGGTATAGGAGTGTTTACAGTGTGTTGGTATAGGTATGTTTACAGTGTATTGGTATAGGTATGTTTACAGTGTGTTTGTATTGGTATGTTTACAGTGTGTTTGTATAGGTATGTTTACAGTGTATTGGTATAGGTATGTTTACAGTGTGTTGGTATAGGTATGTTTACAGTGTATTGGTATAGGTATGTTTACAATGTGTTGGTATAGGTATGTTTACGGTGTGTTGGTATAGGTATGTTTACAGTGTATTGCTTTGCTACGTTTGATTAAGCTAATAATATTTTATGAAGATGATATAACAGGGTTTTTTGTCGTCTGTAACCTCAAATTAGATTGAAAGTTTCAATATCTTAAACCACTATAATCAACGTGATGATTGTGGACATTACTTGGCAGGAAAAAAAAGAAGCAGAAACGACAAGAACATTCAACAATGCTTTTCAGCTTGGGAAGAGATCATTAGAGGATATCAAATTACTGTTATATTATCATTTTTCGGATTTCGTTTTTCTCATAAATATTTGAGCAATAAAACATTAGTCTATTTAACATTAATATCATATATGAAATGATCGATTTAGAGACTAAAATGTGTGGTGTTTCACCATACTATCTGTTATTCTGAATGACAATAAGATTTGGTCCAGAACAGGAAACTATTGATACTTCAAGTCAAACATCTGACGAGTCGTCATTCTTTATTTCTGACGTAAAAACTGAACGGATCCAGGAGATGAACACTGAGGCAAGTCTTCATTGGTCGAACACTGTACCAGTTGAGTTGCTCGAGGAGAGTACTGCTGGCCTTACATATTGCACTGGTCAATGGGTTAAGGAACATAGTACAGTCTTTGTTGTTATTATACCGGGTGTTTAGACAGGGCACACATAACTGCTCCGGCCCCTGTCACAGCTATCCCCAGTAACAGTAGACATAGATTCCTTCGACCCTGAAATAAGATATTACATCAAGGGTAGACTTATTCACAGTTTAGATATGTAACATCTAAATGCAACATAACATGGTAAATAATTCAAAACAAGGAATTTATTTCCTATCGAAAAAAGGAATATTATTTAGATTTATTTTTTAAATATTTATATAAATTGTAAAATTATATGGTACACAATCTGAATAGATCTAAACGCAACTACAAAAGGACCACACTTATCAGTTTTATTGAAATCATTCACTCAGTATACAGATCATCCACACAAAACGTTCACTCATTGCCGCACAGCAGAAATGGATACACTGTATATGTGATAACAGAGGCATTGAAACGAAAAGGGTTGTAGAAAGTGGGCAGGAGAGATTAATTAACAAGCTATTGTAATCGTAGCAGGTCTGCAATGTCCGATTAGCAAAGACAACATAAGACAATATCCGATTCCACAGAAGGGACACACAACATTTGCCTTGAACAATCATACAGTTGGCTAGTCCGAATTATTCTGACGTTTATCGACTTTTTTCATATCGGTCTGTCGTCGATTAACGTCAGAACTCCGGCCCTCTATAATATGCGGGAAATATGCGACCCGCGCCCGGAGCGCACTTCAAACTGATATTTTAGAAACAAATCGTCACTTTCACACACATGTCGCACATGGATCGAAAGATCTATTCTTTATGCACTAGGTGGTATCAAAAACATGTTATAAAGATCATTACGAAAAGCATTTTCCAACGTTTTCTATACCAACCCATGTTTTTTATGGAAATTAGGCCATGAGAAATGTCACATGACTTGACGAGATCTCGCGTTACCGAAGGTATTTCCCAACGTTATGACGTAGGCCAGCGAGATTTTAGTCACGTGGCATTGGAAGGCGGGGCTATCAAAAAACTAGAGTAAAACAGAGTAAGTTTGAAAAAATATGTTTTTAGTGATTGTATTAGTTGTTTGAGGCATGTTATGTATGTTCATCTTGTGCATAAATAATAGATCTTTCGATCCATGTGCGACATGTGTGTGAAAGTGACGATTTGTTTCTAAAATATCAGTTTGAAGTGCGCTCCGGGCGCGGGTCGCATATTTCCCGCATATTATAGAGGGCCGGAGTTCTGACGTTAGTCAACGACAGACCGATATGAAAAAAGTCGATAAACGTCAGAATAATTCGGACTAACAGTTGGCTAGAGCGGGTCAAAGTGTTGTAAGTATGTAAACGCTATTTATTGTGCTCGGGGACAATTCACAAGACAAAAACAGAACTACTTCGATTTACCTTACTCATGTTTTTTTTACCTCCAGTATATTTTCCTTTATAATATAACATATAATTTTATCGGTTCAGTGCCCTGTTCTCCGATGTGACATTGCAATGAGAATGTGCTACATAGTGAGAGAAAAACTTGTCAATAAAAGACAAAAGCAACCATTGATGGTGTCTAGTCCTGTCTTGGTTCCTGTTAAGGAGAAACCTTTGTCCATTTCATTTCATTTCATCAGATTTTATTGACTTTGTATATGCCTATTTAAGTCCTTTTCAAACGTATCATAACAATCCAATTAAACAGTACAGGGGAGATAACTCCAATTTAGCTTGTGAAATGAACATTTTACAACTTTGTCCATATTTCATCTTATTTGTTACCTCGTAATGAAGTCATTTTTTGTCAATACTGTGTCTTACATTCATTTCCAACAAGAAGTGCATGTCCATCATTGTCAAAGTTTGATCTTACCTTGATCTCCCGGAAGAAGACCACGCCCACTATGGCGTTGATGACAATTGGCACTGTAGTCATGATAGGGAAGGAAACTGATTCTGACAGCGTATCGTTGACCAGAAACCACAGCGAGCTGGCTGTTCCCCACATCAGCCCGGTCAGGATCCCCGGGAGGCTAGCCCGGGGGTAGATCCGGGGTATGTTGCCCATCACAACACAGTACACGCAGAAGTAAAATGTATTTCCCAAAAACAGACCACACATTGTGGCAAAGGCGTAGTCCATTCCTGTCAAGGTCAAAACAATATGTATATCATTTATACTCTTCAAACCTCACAATACAATAATGTAATAGCCATAATTTATCAAGCTATAACAGAGCGAGTATTTAGTATTGATAACTTGTGCAACTATATGAAGAATGTAAACGTATGGTATCACTTAATGTCAAACACGTTACTAGCTGGGTGTAGACATTTATCCATTTTTCGGTTTGGTAAACAGTTGACAATAAGATGACATTACTGGTGCCCCTAGTCCGAATTATTGTGACGTTTTATCGACTTTTATTTATATCGGTCTGTCGTCGATTAACGCCAGAACTCCGGCCCTCTATAATATGCAGGAAATAAGCGACCTGCGCCTGGGTGGCTCTACAAACTGATATTTTAGAAACAAATCGTCACTTTCACACACATTTGGCACATTAGAACCACGCAAAAAGCAGATACTTGACGACGCATGTATATGAAAATAAATATAAATGCGATAATTGAGAAATTTGAGGTGAATACTATAATATCTATGAAAGATTTATTTAAAAATTGACATGAATCCAAAGAAATAGCATCGAAAAAGTTAGTTTTTTACCAGGATAACACAGTGAAATCAGACTTATCTCTCCCTTGGTCTTGTAAGCTATGTATATCACCAAATAAGTTATACCTTGTGTTTAGATTTGAATTCAAATATTTTGTAGGAAAATGTAATAATTGGAAGACCTTACAGCTGCGTCAGAATAATACATTTACGTCATAGAAAAATATAGGGCCAGTGATGCTGTACCTTAAGTACAGTGATGGATAAAAGTAAGCTATTCCACGTGGGAATGGCCTGCCTCCGGCTAGGGATCCGACACATGAAAACGACTGTTACAGAGGTCGTCTGTGATAACGTTACCAGTCAAAGTGATACCAATAATTTGACTAGACACAGCCTTATTCAGACTCTGGGAAAAAAATGGTTTTGGCTAGGCTCACAAACCTCAGTCTATTCAAAACCAGTTTATCCCCTGGGTTTGAATTAGCATATGTCTACGTCAGGGCTGCGCTTGATTTGATTAGTAAACACTATATATATATATATATATATACTACCAAACTGGCTGGAATGGTTATATGTCTGCTGTACGTAGAGGGACGGCGTGTAGGTCTGGCCGTACAACGCCCCCGATATCACACTCATGGTAATCCCTCTGGAACAAAAGTACATACATACATAAATAGGCTTTAGTATTGTGCACAGGTATGCTATGAATTTAGCCATAATTATACGAATATGGTACACATTTAACACATGTTAACATAAATCCTCTAGTGAAAAGTTCTTAATGAATGATACATTAATTGAAGAATTAATCAAATTGCTTATTATTTTATTATTCTGTGCATTACTCACAGGATTTTTTTCTTTGTAGGAGGCAGTTTATCAACAAAGATGAGCCCCTCCTCTGTGCGTTTGTTCGCGGGAGACAACAACATGCACTCCTCCGTCGGGATCCTTGCAGACGTTAGCGTGTTAATAGGCTACATTAAAACATAGTAATCTGTTAATTACTCACAGAGAGGACACATGTAAAATGAAAAAGTCCGTAGAAGCATAAGATTGTAGAAACTAACATATAGCAGAGATTAGTCTATTCATAACTGCCTTGACCTTATCTGTCACATAGTAACCCAAAATCAATAGTTTTCCCCATTTTTATAGCTACTGTGACCTTATCCTTTAACCTTGTATTCCCAAAGTCGATAGAGATCTTTCACTCCCCAAAGGGCATTAGCTATTAAGCTTGGTGTAACCTTGACCTTTAACCTGGTGACCTCAGCGTCAATAGGATTTCCCCTCTCCCCTTGTGGAATGAATCAATTGTTTAAAGCTATGATCCAAATAACATTATCTCAAAACTACATGTTTTGTATTGCTGCTGTGACCTTTTTTTAGCACATGGTATCCCAAAAGTCAATTGGGATCTTGCATTATTCATCTAAGTTTGATTTAGATGTGATATTTCGTTCAAGAGACAATATCCAAAAACCGACATTTTCGTAATATTTCATCCTATTTATAGCCACTGTGACCCTGACGTTTGACTGCGTGCCCTCAAACTCAAAGTTTTTTCCCTCTCCCCTTGTGATATCATTCATCCGCATTTGGTTTGCAGATGATTCATTTTTAAAGTTATCATCCGGAAACCGTTCTCTTCGTTTCTGCGATGTCTCATTGATAAGTTACCGTATCCATATAAGAGCCAGGTAGATACAGAACTTGTACTGATGTATATCAATGTTTTTAACACAGTGACTTCTTGTATATTAAATATTTCAGTATCATATTTACATCAAAGGTGTTGTATTGTCCAGCAGAAGGAGATGATGGCGTTGTCTCCCCTGGCTCTTTTACTTTACGTATATCCGGTTTAAGGAACGAAAATATCACAGCACTGCAATAATAAACATACATTAATGGCGATGTTAACAAAATTCCGTTGGAATTCAAACGTGCATTCATTGTAATGTAAACATAGATACACTCTGTGCAACATCAGTGCATCCTCGATATCAAGGGGTTACGCTCACTTTCGCTCTCTTCACCCCTGGAATATGTCAGCAATATTGAAGGCACGAGGATAGATGTTTGATTGGTCTCGGGTAAAAAATAACTGACCAATCGCTAGGCTGATACCTGTCATTTGAAGATAACAAAGGAGAGACGCCCGACTTCAAAGCCTGTCAATTTTTACCGTTACGTGACCGCGAGATTCTTTTGATGTACATCAAAGGATCGAACTAGTCTTCTTGTCTCATCAACAAGGTGACGCACACCAAGCCTTCAATATTGCTATGACATATTCCAGGGGTGCAGAGAGCGAAAGTGAGCGTAGCACCTGGATATCGAGGATGGCATCAGTGTTGATGACATACATCTTTTCATTCGTAATAAATAGAGGTTCTTTTACAAGTATACTAGATCCCTCTACCCTTTCTTGTGTGTCAGATGTGACAAATTTGTTGAATGTTAAACAAACAAAGGTGAGATATCGAGGAAACAGCTTACCTTAGGATACAGAAGAGAACGCCACTATAGTTGAGAGGTATGGAATCCGGAACTTCCTTCTGTATACCAAACAAACCAAACCTGTTGGAAATAAAACAAACCTCATGTATTCCAATCAACAAACATCACTGATTTTCGATAAACTGGTGATTTTTGCAGAATCAATTGAACAAAGAAAGAACATGTTAAGATAAACGGCAGACAGAATGTGTAGATGTACTCAACTGGTATTGCTTCGACACATAATTTAGTTCTACAAAAGAATTTACCGTTAAAAGGGAAGCAACGCAAGTTAGTTTCGATAGAATTTCGTCGGTGTATTTTAGTTTAGCCCTTAGAAAAATAAATAAACAATTAAAAAAATGACGAAATGATCTTGAAATAAACGGCTCTGTGATGGTGAAGGCAAGAGTACAAGTTCGCACCAACGTCTTGCACTTCCTGATTGTAGGATATTAAACAGCACGGGCGACTCTCAGTGTGTACATTTTACGGGCAATACAAATACATGTAGGTCTTATGAGTTGGTTGGTACAGACAGTAAACAATAGTTTGTACTCAGATTGTAAATACTGTAAAAATAACAATGAAGGTTTGGAAATTTTAAATTCATCATTGGTGATGTAACTTTCTAATTTCTTTAATTCCAAGGACGGAAAATTAAATGCTGATACATTTAAGTTAATTTGGCATTGTAGGACATTAAAAGATGGAAACGCAAATAAGAATAAAGACAATGTTTAGGCCTCTTTGATAAATAAATCATTTGAACATAGGAAAACGGGCGTGATCAATTTTTAAGTTTCATATAATTTGATGTTGTTTTTTCCTTTTGTTTTCCATTTCAATTTGCAAATCGATTACCGAGTACAATATATGAATATAAATATACAATAACGATGAATTGAACATGCTTTAAGCCCTGTCGAGCCTCCAACTCACAATTTATGATAAAGTGTACCAAAATAGTTACCTGCCCGTGGCCCAGCCACTCAGCATATTACAGATCCCCCATACACACATCCCCTGTGCCATACCCACAGCTTTCACGATAGGTACCAGGAACAGGTTGGCTACAAAATCAAACATCACATGAAGAAGTTTGTAATATTATCTGTTCATGTTTCTCAACCACAATGACTTGACGACAAAGATTTTTTGTCAATATTTTTGTATGATTCTTTTGATTTCTTTCAAATTTAGACTATTAACGATTTAACTTTATAAGCTGTAAACATATCTTAAAATAAACATTTTATTTTTCGTCTGTTATTTCCGTGAAATTTAACAAGTGGAACATTGCAAAGCTGCATATCGAGATCTAGGGACATGCGAATCAGGATATATGTTTAGACCATCCTAATGAGTAGGGAATATTATAAGATCACTTAGGGGTTTAAATCAACATTTGATAAAATGAAATTATGTTTTCTGGTAGAACATGGAACATTAAATATTTAGTTTCATTTCAATCACTTCCGATAGATTTTCAATAGAAAATTTCATTTGTCAAACTACATTTGCGTTAATGCATTGAGATAACCTGCTTTCACGAAACACTGAATAAAACTTCTATAAGGCTTATAACTCTCTAAACCTCAGAATACGAAATGGGAGGATCAAACATACACCTTGTATTGAATTTCAGGATAGCGCTTGTAAAAATCGTTTGAAATTTTGCGAAATAATTGAAAATAAAGGTGCACAGACAAGAGGTTTATATATAAAACAACACCAGTAGATTTACTGAATATTGTGTAAAGGAAGTGACGTACCGGTAATCCATACTACGCCGCCTAGCATGACAATGGGATAAAAGGTAGCCTCGCTTCGAAACTGTTGAATAATTGTGCCGACTAAAAGGGCTCCATGACAAAACATGAGTTGAAAATATATACCTGAAAAACAAATATATATTATAAGGTATGTTAAGTATAGGTAAAATATCCGGCATAACCTTCCTGGGTATCATACTGCTCTAGTGATCCTGGCCATAATTCTTACATAAAATCTACAAAAATGTCACAATGGTAAATAAAATTATCAGATAACTGCCAGATGTTTCTCACTGAGAGTTATCGCCTTTAGCTTTGATATGCACAGATGTCGTTTGATTTATAACAGAATATACCTTTGGCTTTAAACATTGGTCAATGTCATTTAGTTTAACAAACATCACAGTCGATCATCCTAACAAATTACGGATCTACAATATTACACTGAACGTAAATTATTTTTGTTGTTGAATATTTTAAGAAATTTAACCTGTGACCTTGAAAGTAGATCAAGGTCATGTTCTTTAACAAATGCGGTAGGCATTCACTCCAGTCGCGTATAGGCCACGTACCAAGGCAATGCCTCCATGATCTTAAGGACGACAGACAACTACGATGGTCTTCCCTCCATCCCATAATCTCACTGCACTTCGAGCCAGATGAGGAAAATCTTACTCCATTTCAATACTATACATGGTACTGATGTGGATCGAGACAAATAACCAAGGATTATCAAACAAGACCCTATCGTCTACTTACCATCGCCCGTTTCGAACCGCTTGACTGGCACCACGATATTTCCTAAGAATATCACAGCTACGGCAGCTGAAATGTAACCCCAGAGAGGCGCTATGACGTCATTAGTCGAGGGATTTAGCGTCGTATCATTGTAGGACACTGTGGTCGTATTCGAAAACATGACGTCACTCGTTGCTGTCCTATCAAAGAAAGCATTGGTTTAAAACAACAGTCACATGTAATTTATTCACAGTTGTTTGCTTATAAAAGTATACATACACATCATAATACACATATTATGCTATTTTATGTGATGGTGTTAAAGCACAGGGGCACGCAACTACTATTAACATTGATCTTGTAACACTTTCAACGTACCCAGCGACTGAAAGTCTTAACAATATCAATAGTAATAGTAGTTGCGTGCCCCTGTGGTTATAGTGAAATTAAAATGGTCACGGACACAGGGACATGGAAATATGTCACATCTATATTTGGACCTAAAGTAAGGTGTTCAGAGTGATTTTACATGTTTTAGGGGTTTAAATCGACTTTCGGTAAAAATGACACCCAAATGATATACTTGTATATTTAATCGTTGGGTGTCATTTTTACCGAAATTCGATCGTTTAGGTCCAAATATAGCTGTAACAAATTTAATAACCATATTTAGATATTGTATCTACAAACTTGTTTAACAATAGATTGTAACTAGACAGCTCAGCTGAACTGTATCAATTCATTTCAACTCGATAATGACTAGGTCACAATATGAAAACGATCTCTTTGCAGGTTCAGGGAAAGAAATAGGCCTGTAGTATTGCAGTTTGTCGTAAGAGGCGGCTAATGTGGGGTCCCTGCAGAATCGGGGGCTTTGTTCCATGTCTTCCGCTAAGAGGACATTGAACAGACCAAGCTTGATCTACTTTCTACATTGTAACACTTGGGATACATTTATTTTATTTTCCCTCTTTTTAATTCGTTTTATACGGCGGTGTCTACCTGGACACACGTCATCGTATGGCCTTAGTTGTTATGAAGAAATTAAAACTCAAATCAAAGACCCTAGTCCGTTTGGACATCTTAACCACTGTGAGCTGGAAAACTTGTCAAATACACTGTATCTGGGGAACAAAATACTTGCACCTCTTCACAGCAAGCTACAGGCTAATAATCACATCTCTAGACATTTTCTTTAGAATCATATATTTAAATTTCACCATTTCTGTAATCTTTTAATGTGTGTCTGAAATGTCATTTATCTAAATAAGTTCATAGCGGTTCATTCCAGCATGCCAAACAACATTACTCTAGGCTTTATGTTTCTCAAGAAGAAGATATATGTGAACAGATGGGGGTTGATAAGTGGTCAACGGAATCCTCGTCATTGCAAAGCATTTGGCCTTAGGACATGTAGCTACGGTAAGGTATACACTCAATAAGTCCCGGCTGAAAAGAGCTGGTATTATAAGTTAACTGTGTATAATGTTCATTTCCACTGAAAGGCCGAAGGGTCCGACATTTAAGTCTTTTACATTACATGTCATTTTAAAACTGTAGTAAAACGACAGACCACCGACAGCAAACTTTGTAAGTAATAGGGTATAGTTAATGTGAATCCCATATTACTTTGCCTTTCTATTATCTTAAAATTTCTTTCTTTTTTATATTACACACTTCGATTTCCATCTCAATCTGATGATATTTGATATTCTGGTAACATTTATAAATAGTAAAAATATATTATTTCTTCCGTTTTATATAGACCAAAACGTTAATAACTTAACTAGGATCATATTTGATAGACAAAAAGATATATGGATAAATAAATTCTTTTACAGAAAATTGCATAACGGAATTCGATGATGTTAAATTCGAATGTGTTAAATTGTGTTAGGATACGGCTCTGTTCGTCTCGTGAATTCGCAATGTTTAAATTGATTAATAACTTGTCAGTACATATTGAAAAAAACATTAATAAACAAATGTACATGGTCACTAGGCCCAAGTAGAAATCCCTTCCTATTTGATATACGAATGCATATTGAGGTAAATGTAGCTGGGGGAAACCTACACCTATATAGTGTGGTGAATGGTTTACGTAACTAGCTATCGGTAACAAAAACCATATAGGAATCAATCGATCCGACAGCGGTCGAGCCACGGTAACGTGAACCGGCTATACGTATACGTATAGGCAGTCTCACATGCATGAGGGCATACGATTCTCTATACTTCGTTAGGCTATAAAATACACGTATTCTTCTCAGCTTGGTACTTGTAACCCTTACCAATATAAATACTATGCCACTTGTGTGTGCAGGTGGTATACATCACTGTAGAGTATGTGGGTAATATTATAAACTGTACGTGTGTGAGTCCCGTTCCTTGTCCTTTGTGTGTTCAATCCCATATTTGTATTCACCAGAAGTCAGCGACCCGTGACTCGTAGAGACGTTAATTATAACTTGATGTTATACATGTATGTCTCTGATGTAAACAGACAGCATGACTACGTACAACAACTGTATGTACACACCTACCTTACACAGACTCCATTATCGCTGACATCCCCCTCTGTTCGTAACTGGTCATTATAATGTCTGAAATCTGGCTCGATCAGCCGACATAAACACACATAACCGGGCCCAAACAGCTGATTGTCCACTCTCACTAGAGCTGTAGAGGAGTACTAAATACTTCCGGTTTTGCCGTCACATGGAGGTTACACACGTGTACATCATGTGTGTGACTCATAAAGCAGCCACAGAAGCAGGAGCGCTCTATTTGGAGAAGCTCCAAATCAGAATGCATTCCAATTATAAATGTCTGTTTCTGCATATGATAGATCTCAGACTAGGGATTCGTTACAAAATGTCTAATAGACACACTGATATGGGTCATAGCACAAACACATACATTGACATACATTGATATGGGTCACAGCACACATAAACATTCATATATGTTTATGTGTGCTGTGACCCATATCAGTATAGCATATGTGTATTGGATATTTGTAAGGAACCCCTCTACACATCCCTGCATAGTCCGAGAACTATCGTTCTAATAATGTCCAGAATATATTACTATGTATATACTCTACATGTAAATAAAACTTCGATCAATAATTCCCTAAATATCAAACAAATGAATGAACACCTTTAAATGATCAGCGATATACTTATATTTACACACGTGTACGCTGTATCGATCACATGTGTTATTATACCTGATTCCTCTTGGATTAAAATTCACGTGAAGTAGGAAAAAATGTTACAGGCACTTTTCAGCACTCCATTCTGCTTTCTTGTTTTCAATAGAAAGGGGGCCCGAATATTAAAATCGTCAATATTTTGCTACACTCGTAATCAACACGTGAATACATGCACAGCTTTGAAGATTAAGTTGGTTGCGGGGTATGTCACTACTGACATGCCAAAAAGTGAGGGGGTCCGAATTCTAGGTTATACTTACGTATACGACTCGCTTAGTTACATGAAAACACATGTCCTTCGCATCTGCAAGGACAAGTTTTACTTCATTTATCTCACGTTACAACTCATAAACGATTCCAGTGCTTAACACATTAGTATCATTTCGGCCTATACCTACCTCTGCCTATTTTTGTTTAGAAAATGAATACAGATCTGCTGATTCCTATTATTGCATTCTAAGGTTAGACAAGAGATTTCATGGCGCCATTTCTTCAAGTCTGACGTCACAATTACGTCATAAAGGAGATAATCAAACATGGCCGACGTGAAAATGAAAACGACTGTATATATTTCTTTCACAATGATTGAAAAATAGAACAGAAACGGAATGGAAACGGTAGAATCCTTGCCGTCATTTCTAAGGACACGATTGATACGGACGTTTACGTTATTCTTGACATGGATATGTATGGTGAGTAACAAACGCTTTCACTGGACATCAATACACAATGACATGTCGTAAGTCTGTCACGCCGTTTCCTCATTGCGTTATATAATGTATGAAATAGGTGTGACCCAATCAACAGGCACACATATGAAAATAGGTTGTTTTTCTGCATAATTTATATTTAATGTATAGCCTACTGTCAGTAAAGTATTTAACACTCAATCCTTGCATAATTCAATGAGCGTTCCCGTACATTTTCGCGCTCCTATTACATTTTGTGCCTGTGATCAACCCTTGTTTCAAGTACTGGGTGCATACTTGACAAGGGGACACCCGAACCTGAGTTGTAACTAGTATTGTATTCGGGTCGAAGAAGGAGTGAGGAATGTAGCGGAACTGGACTGGGTCACTTATCGGCTACTAGGAAGCTCAGTTGGTAAAGCGTTCGTCTAAAGTTCGGAGGGTCTCGGGTTCGAACCTTGTTCTGGCGTGAGTTTTCCCTCTCCTACGGACTGCATATTTTCATAAAATGTAACATCGTTTGCCATCTAATTTTGATAAAACTTTTCATTTTCATCCTATTAGAGACTGAACAAGTTTATCCATGGCTATGTTATAGAGATATCAATTTTTAGCTCGGCATAAAATATTCTTTTTTCCATGTCATTCCCACTGAAAAGAATGTTAAATTAATTTGCCGTAATAGTTTGTTTTTGACAATTAACTGATCGTGCTTATAACTCTAAGAAAAGGATAATTAGATGTATTCTACCAATAGAAGCGCTAGATAATTCTCTAGCTCTATGCCAAATTTATGACTTTTTGACGAAAAACGAAGTAACGAAAACATAGAAACGACTTGATACGGGCACCAACATATACTTGTTCAGCTTATGTATTTTGTATTGTATTAATACAAACGGTATCGCAGCTGTGGTACATTGTATGTTGGAGAGTTAACGGTATTACCTATTGACATCACAGTTATTACTATATTAATTATCATATTGATATCAATGATACATCACCCATATGTGACGAGGCAGTTCTGTCAGCATACGGAAAGTACATGCAGATGTTAAATTACAGAAATATAGCTCTTATATATTACTGCTTTGTCGGACTCATTACGCTGCGTCATAATACGTCAAATCAGCATCAAACGCTTCCAGTCGACTTCTATGGATTAATATACAATTATGGACTTTTGTGCTGGTGAATATGATGTGATATGAACCTGAAAGAGTGATATTGACTTAGGCGAAGCCGAGGTCAATATCACTCTTTCAGGTTCATATCTTCGCCTCAGTCAATATCACTCTTTCAGGTTCATATCTTTGCCTCAGTTAATATCACTCTTTCAGGTTCATATCACATCATATTCACCAGCACAAAAGTCCATAACTGTTTTAGTATATGCTTCAACAATAAAATAAAACAAAACAAAACTAAAGGTTCTGATTTTTGTACGCGAGCCTCCGTGTAAAATTCAGCCAGGTTTGAATACAACAGTTCATCATTGTAGCTTTCGAAGGCATCGTCTAGGTTCTTTTTCTTAAGATAAGAATGGAGGACATGCGCTGCGTGTTCAATGGCTAACAGCATCTTTATCCTCGAATAGTTTTGGTAATTTTCCTATCGGAGGAGAAACGTTCGCCAGCAGCCATCATCTAATGTCGTCTGACAGATCGCGTTCCAGTCTAACTGCGCATGCGCTATGTCAGGTTCCGGGGAATTTCCATACAGGCTATATTTCGAAATCGATATTCACCGGATAACCAGTCTACATTATACAATTATGCTGGTGAATATGATGTGATATGAACTTGAAAGAGTGATATTAACTGAGGCGAAGCCGAGGTCAATATCACTCTTTCAGGGTCATATCACATCATCTTTACCAGCACAAAAGCCCATAACTGTTTTATTATATGCTTCAACAATTAAATAAAACGAAACAAAACTAAAGGTTCTGATATTTGTACGCGAGTCTCCGTGTAAGATTTAGCCAGGTTTGAATACAACAGTTCATCATTGTAGCTTTCGAAGGCATCGTCTAGATTATTTTTCTTAAGATAAGCATGGAGGACATGCACTGCGTGTTCAATGGCCTTTTTTTACGTTAACAGCATCTTTATCCTCGAATAGTTTTGGTAATTTTCCTAACGGAGGAGAAACGTTCGCCAGCAGCCATCTTCTAATGTCGTCTGACAGATCGCGTTTCAGTCTAACTGCGCATGCGCTACGACAGGTTCCGGGGAATTTCCATACAAGCTATATTTAGAAATCGATATTCACCGGATAACCAGTCTACATGAGTTTTTGAGGACTGGTCACGTGAATAGGATCCGACCAATGTGATTGCGAGAAATGTTCATGCATATAATAAGAGTTTTTAAAAACTGGTCACGTGTTTATGATCCGACCAATGTGATTGCGAGAAATTTTCATACATATATAAAATAAATTATGTTATGATGTATGCTATTAGCAGTTTTTCAAAAAATAAGTCTCCGTTATTTACTGACCAGGTAGCGCTACAATAGTTTATGTGTGGCTGGACTAGCGATTTGTTTAAACATTTAACTTGCATGTACTCACATGCTCACTAAATTCATTTAGGGTTTTGGACCTAAATGACATGCTCTATCGATGGGTCGTAAAACAAAACAAAAACAAAACATCTATTTTTGTGGTCAAAGGTTACTCCCAGTTCCCGTGTCATGCTTTTTTCCTACATGAATGGCGGTGTCCTTGTTTGGTAATGCGTAACTGGAGTTTTACTGTATCGCGTAATTCTACATTTGATAAGGTTCAGCTACATCTTCTTGTCCTATGTCCTCTTTTTTTAGCTTCGTTTGATTGCAACGTTCAAGTAGTGTGTGCAATTAATGTATTTTAACCGACGATATTGCCCACCATCGTGATCAGCCAGCATCGGAGTTTAATACGAGCATAACCAAATGTTCAGTCCTGTTGAAAATGCGTACTAAAAATAATGTGGAGTAAACATGGGGTTGACAGATTTATAAACGAATTTAACAAAAGAGAAATCAAATCAAATCAAAAGTTGTTAAAATTGACGATGAGGCTACAGAAAAATATTGTTGAAAGTATTGAAAAGCGATAACAAAAGGATGAAAACTCAGTGTTCAATAGTTTAACTGTGTCTGTAATGAATATGTAAAGCAACATCAATGTAAAATGTTATGTCGGCCAGTACTGGACGTATTACAAGCCCACGTTCATTCGGCCATTGGGACTGATTTAGGTAGCTCTGGCAAGTGTTGGGTCTGATGTGAAAAGATCCATTGCTAACAAACCCGTTCAGTTGATCACAGCAAGAATTGTATTTGTTTCTATTTAAAAAGTTGACTATGGACAACCTTGCCGAAATCCTTTAAAAAATCTATAAATATTTTACACCCACTATCTTTGCCATCTTCTTAAGCCTTGTAGATTCAATCTTCCACAACTTCAATAGCTATGATGTATAAGATCTACATGACGTAAAGCCCTGTTGGCTATAGGTTAAATATTGTTTCCATCCATGTCATAATCCAATGTAATTGGTCTTTACTACCTGCGTCCTATTTTAAATAATTGAGCGCCGTTTTGTTGGTACAACTGCGCGAATATTTTCTGTTTACTCGCCCTCGGTCACTCTAAAAAGCACATAAAAACATTTCGAGAGTTTTAGTTGCAAGGATGCTGCGCCAGTTACCCGGGCTTCTAATCTTTTTCTAAGGCATCCCTCTTTTATCAGAAAATCATCGCGTGTCTTTGCGTGGTTAAATAAATGATATCGCAACTGCTCTAGATCTGCGACATTATCATGCGCTGAAGAACGTACTTTGTCAACCAACAATTGCCTGTGCATGTCCTTGCATGTTTCTAGTTCTGCTAAGTATACTGGTACAGCTGATGACTGTTCACTGCTTGGGTCTGGGGTGTATGCACCGCTACATCTTTGTACTACGCAGGCCTGTGGTCATGAGAACCCAGGCCAATGGAGTTCCATTGTCCGACATATCGTTATACTATTGTCTATTCTGCCATAAATCTGAATGTCTAATTGGGGCGAGGTTTGTGTATTGGGACATTTGGTGACAAATGTCAAATATCATTGTGGTCAGCTTGACCACTCAGGACCATCCCCAAACTATGGCTGCCATTATTACACAACGTCCGACACAAAAGGAAAAGGACGGTCACACCGAATTTCAAACATATAAAGATCACATTTGCGTCAGTCATATAGAAGCGCCGCCCTGTGATTCACTCAAGTTGAGGGACGCTCCCAGAGGCGAGAAATATGATTTTCAATGTATTTACCCGAGACCAGTCAAAAATCCGACCGTCGCCATCCAACCCCGATCTCGAGATTTTGTTTTACAAGATCTACATGACATAAAGCCGTGTTGGTTATCGGTTAAATATAGTTCTTATCCATGTCATCTGGATTTTTATCTGTACTCGTTCTTTGCATCACTTTGTAGGGCGCCGCAACCATTCAAACTGGTCTTCCATTACCAGCGTATTGTGGCTCTGGTTTTCACGTGGTGGCTATTTGTACTATTTCATCCCTTCGTTATTTCGCGGTACAAGGAGGCGAAGGGACACTATTTATCGTCCCTTCGTGGCTAATGAACGTTTCTTTGTTTCGTTGCCTCTCCAGAAAGCGAAGGAACGAATGAACGCCGATAACGGGGCGCTAATAAACGTCCTCTTATATTCGTTTCACCGCCTCCAGTTCTTCTTCTTTTCGTTCCTTTGCCTTCCTGCTTTGAAAGGACCTGATTTATAAGTAGCAGGGAGCAGGCCATTTAACTGGATGTACAACGGTATTTCGGTCGTCACTACTTTTGACTGACATACTTAATTGCGCAGAGAAAGTTCATTGAAGTTTGCAGTTTCTTCATCTGCAGTAACGAAGTCGCCATTTATCCTGGTAAATCTAAAGACCTGTCTGTGTTTTTTGCTTTGTTTCAGACATTTTTTCAAAAAGAGTTGGGGTTTTCCCTTGATATTCCATGCTAAGTCCTCCTCTTACAAGTAATTGAATAGGCATACGGCCATAATCGCTAGGATCCTAGCCGTTGTTAAAAAATGTAAAGTGAGTTTCTTGAGTATTATAGTAAAGGTTTTTAATCCATTCCATGGCCAACTTAAAACAATGGGATATTTTTCTCTATTGATGTTTCTAAGTTTTGCTTCAAAGAAGTTGAAGGACTGTCACCATTAATGTTGCCGTAATATCCATCATTTCCAACGATAGGTGGTTCAAAACCGAATTGACGGTCTCCGAAATTAATTGTAATTTGAAACAGTGCCGTATGGGTATAAATGTTTGGTGATTGCGGGTTTGTGAATCAGAGTGATAATTAGATAAAACAATAATAAATGTTCATTTTTCCTCAGTTGTTTAAGATGCTCCAACGAAAGCTGTTGGGACAATTGTATGCCTCTGTAGTTATAACATGCAATCAAACAGTTTTCTACTAAATTTCCTCCATCTTCATAACTAGTAGGATATTAAAAGTTGCTTTCTCACCGAGGCTTTGTCTTGTAAGAGTAGTAAATTCACATACTTTCACAGTTAGTCTGCAGTTCCTCGATCAATTTCCACATTATGAATCAATGACCTCATACGCTTATTCTCTGTAAGGTTCTGTAGTTTACTGCTAGTTTCTACACCTTGCAGGTATTTGATAGAATTTAGAAATTAATTTAACAATTGAATCAGAAGTGATCCTACATGATTGGTACAAAGTTGGGGTCTTTCCTCATTAATTTAATGATTTTTCATGGATTTTCATGATTATATATGAACAAACATTCACTTATAATCCATTGTCTGTTCCAAACAAAAGCCTTTCTGGCACCCCGAAGTTAGGTTTCTTAGCTATGATCTGCTTACTCGAGATCATCTTTCCAACAGACTGAAAAGATTCAGGACTTGATTGGGAAAAATTGAAACACCTTAAAAACAAAACAGGGCTATGTTATGTTAATTAACAAAGTCGTAATTAAAAAATATAGAACAGAACAATTTGACTGGAATTCAAGTATGTTATCGGTATATCATTTTATGATTACAAACTGACAGATAATCTGCCTGTGGTTTTATAGGGAATGTTCCTCGAGATTATAGGACCCACGCTCCAGGATCTCAAAGACCGGACCAATTCGGAGTACGAGAGTCTATCTCAGGCAGTGTCTGGACGGAGTATCGGGGCCGTGAGTGGGTCCATCATAGGGGGTATTCTGATTGACAAACAGGGGCAGTATTGCGACCTGATCATTGGCTTGTGTCTAATGGCGGCGGCGGCAGCTACCATAGCGGTCCCACTCTCTAACAAGGTAGGCGGGGTTGTATGTTTCTGTGTGTCATTCGCCGACACGAAGGCGAACGGGACATGGTGACCGCCATGTCCTGTTATCTATTTAATTTGTCGAGCTAAGCTTGTTTGTCGTTTGATTGCAATAAGGTTTTAAATGAATATTTGTACGAAAAAATGTGTATGACAAACTGTTCAGATGATGGGTTGTTAAGATCAACTTCGACGACAACGATAATTTGTCAGATAAAAAGGTTGTATACTAAGTAAGATTTATCTTGTTCAAAATCTCTTGATTTAAGCAATAAAGAGAGTAAGACCAATGAAGGAAATGATACCTCTCGGCACTCATCCAGCCGTCAACATACATTGTTCCCGACACGTGTTTGTATTACAGGTGCTGCTAACGGGAGCTCTTATCATGGTGACAGGTTTGGCTGAGCTGATTGTCAACGTAGGTAAGTAGGTAAACGATCGTATGTTAAATTACTCTCTTTGGTGATTATTAAGTGAATATCTTATCTTTTGCCCACGCAGGGGATTCCTTAGGAAACAAATTATCAAATTGATAAAACAAGTACTCTATGAATATTGCGAAGAGGAGTGTTTGAAATGTTTTGAATTATACGCTGCTATATGGACAAGATATAAAAAATAATTTTGAACACTTTGTAAATAACACAAATTTTGATATCATTTGCTGTTGTTTCCTGACATGTGTAATAACTTTATATTGTAATGTGGAAATGTCCCTTTAATTGGAATATAATTTTTTCCGAATGCAGATATATATTTTCTTAGTATCTTAATAACTGATTATTGAAATGATCTAATATTAAAAATCTATTAAGTCGCCATTAATCTATACAATAGAAGCTCGTGTTTTGTTTTATGTTTCAGCTGGCAATACTACTATCCTGTATTTATGGCGGGAAAAAGCCTCCCCTCCGATGCACATGCTTCACCTTGGGTTTGGGATCGGATGTCTTCTGGTGCCCCTTGTGGCCAATCCGTTCCTTCCATTGATGACTTACCTACCAGACTGTGACGTATCTACAAGTTCTAATATATCCCTAACAAATGTTACAGACACGAACTGCTCGATAAACAGTATAGAGTCCACCATGGTCCTGGAGGATTCTATGATCGAGTATGCGTACGCCCTAGTAGCAATACCGACGGTGGTGTTAGCGATGGTGTTCATGGTTTTTCAATGTATATTTCCGCAAGTTCATGACGTGCGTGGGACCAAAATTAAGAAACGAGACTCGAAGGCTATGCTGAATCCGGGCAGCTGTACTGACGGCGATTGGTGGTACGGTCTCCTCTTGTTCTCTCTCGTGTTCCTTTACTTCCTGTTTACAGTAGGATTCGAAAGGTTTTACACCAAGTTCATCCGCACCTTTGCAGTGGACGAACTAAATTTCACCAAAGACGAAGGTAGTTACATCAATACTGGTTTCTGGGTAACATTTTCACTGGGAAGATTAATCGGATTTGCAACTGGAAAATTTGTCTCAATTAGAATCATGATGGTTTGTGAAATAAGTGGGGTATGTCTTAGTGCACTTGGACTCAATCTTGTCACCGTCTTCAACTTCGAACCGGAAGCGTCTTTTTGGATCTTCTCGCTGTTGATTGGTCTGTTCCTGGGACCCATGTGGCCAACCGGGATATACTGGACAGATTACCACGTCGAGTTGACCGGGATGGGTATTACCGTCATCTGTCTAGCTGGCGGATGTGGAGGATTTTCGTGTGTAAGTATTATGGGATACTTATATGATGCAATTGGTCACGTTTGCTTTGTGTACGAGGCAATGGTGTGTGGACTTCTAGTGTTTGTAATTGGACTGTGTCTCAACTTTGTCGGTATTCGCCACGGGAGCAGGTTTGATAAGGTAAAAGACGAGCAAATTATAACAGTTGAAGATATTGACAACAAAATGTAACAATTTAATGAAATGGAAGAATCCATTCCACCGCAAAGAACAAATTTCAGTCGATATTAAATTGTTATACTGTTCAATTGTTGTGTGATGAATTCTAAATTACTTTTTTGAAAAGAGTTTAAGTTAAATGCATGTCATACTTTTTTGAAAACGGAGATTTATCTTTGCCTTGTCCTACCTTGTCTAGAATGATGAGGGTAACACGATTGAAACAATATAGCTAATGCAGCTATAATAAAGTTACAATATATGCACAAACGTAGTATTTTAATGAAAATGTATGAAATGTTTTATTTACTTGTATTTAAGGATGTTTGCGAATTATGTACTTAACAAAACATAATTAGTATCGCATTTACTTACCACTGAAACTTATGATATGGGTTAAAACATACTTTCCTACAGACACAAAATACGAGATTTACAGTGAAGGATTCGAGAAATGTTGATTGAAATCTTGCTTATACTTGAGGCGCTAAACCACTTGAAAATAATTCCCCTTTCGAATTTTTGAGAAGGCTTTCGCAAGACAATATGTGTCGGTGTTAAAAATCAGAAACAGTTCACCGACACCACCACCACCACCACCACCCACAACTATTACCATGTTAACATAAGTGGAAGCAGAGTAAAACTAGTGGCAGATGTTGAAAATGTATCGACAAAACATTTTCAACATCTTACATTTTCGAAGGTTAGTGATTTCATCTGCACCCATAGTTTAACCGGATTACACTTACGGTACAATTATAGTGATTGCTACATTGTTGAAAACACTCAGTATTCATTAAGAAATACAAATGATTTCAAAATACAGAAATAGATTTTCTAGTGCAAGTCATTTTGACCGTCAACCTTTTCGTTTCAGTAAATTTCATCTTTATGGATTGACAGGTTGAATTTATAGTAAAGCGAAGCTGGCTATAAACACAAAAATGATCATAGGAGGAAAGTTCAGCAAGTTCATTTCAAGAAAACGATAAAATTAAAATATACTTTTCGTTCCCTGTATGGGAACGTTACCATGCTAATTTGTAATTCAAATTAGCCAAACATTGAACTCTGTATTTATTTTTGAAGTGAGCATTTAAGTTGTAATAAACTGTTCCATTCTGACTCCTGTAATTGCTGACAGCAATTTATAGATCTCAAAAATGTAATGCTTTCGACAGCGTTTTTGATGTCTCGTCATGATCATCCACTAAGCAAAAGACGTAAGAACGTTCGTCGATTATTCAATACAGCTGCCTGGCCAGCTTTAAAATGGGCAAAATTCTGTACGAATGACCAATCATCATTTTACACATTTTATTGACACCCTCCAAACCACTCCTTTAAATTCAAGGGGTTACTTTCACTTATATTCTGTCCATCCCTGGAATATGTCACGACAAAATGGAAAGCTAACTGGCTTTGAAATCGAGTGTCGCTCCTTTGTAATCTTTAAGGAAATGGTATCAGTCTATGAATTGGTCAGCGCTCTCTTCGTGCCTTCAATTTTGCCATAACATACGCAAGTGAGCGAAAATTTCATTTCTTTGGAATCTGTTCTCGTTCAAGTCCTATTTAGATCTTAAATATGAGCAAACACCAGGAGTTCAAACAATGTTCATACAAATGGTAATACGCGTATATTAGTTGAAGTTATTGATGAAGTTGACAAATCAATATGGTTTTGATATATTCATTATTTGGTCAGAGCTGAGCGAAAGTTAAATTAACATAGCCATATCGAACATATTTTACAACCAGGGGCCCATACGCTTTAATGGTCTTTTCTCTTGATAAAGATGACGGAGTACATATCGTACTGGTCACCGAAAGGTCACACATAAATATCGCCCTGGTTGTGCTATATGATCCTTTAAATAATCTATATGTATATCAACTTGAAAAACAAGTTCCGAAACATCCGAACAAAGAACAGACAAAAGATGTGCGCCAACTAGGAAGTCTAGGAAAGAAAATGATCGAGATAGTCAGACTTAGTGTCCAACTCGAACGCACGGTCTGTTTTGGGAAACAATTCACCAGATCAGAGAAAACAATTGGGAGTACTTGATCAACACATAGGTAATAACAGATCATTCCAGACAGCAAGAGAATGTTACTGGCTTGGATAAATCCAAAGATGTGGACAAAGAGAAGACAAACTGTTCCAAGTGACAGATAATGCAAACAATCTTGATACCAGAAGAAGGCCAGTTCTAACTCGAGATGAGGGGTCCCATAGATTCAACACATCTATGACTAGGTGTCCAACAAAGCGTAAACTGATCGATTAGTTGATTTTATCTTAGAGTATATACATTTGACTGGTCATTTATTTTATGAAGGTGACAGAAAACATACCATGGAAACGTCACACACACATTATATTTTACCGGATTGCTATATATAGGAGTCTACAACAATAAAAAAAATAATAAATGGGGAAATAACAAAAATAACAATATTAGTTATATACCGGTAAACAAATGTCCTTTAATGCATCAATAAAACAATAAATAAAACCTTCTCACCGGTTCCTGTGTCTTAGATCAATGCGAGTTACACATGCACATGGTTTATAGTTTTTCAAAGGGGAAAGAAACGAATGCTCTAGTCATATTTTACTGGGGAAAAAAACCGTTTTTTATCAACTTAAAACGTCCTTCAATAATATACAATCTTGCAATGCTGGGGGCAGATCTAATAGTTCCACCTTTTTATGAGGAAGATGTCCAATAGCACCTCGGATACAGAATCTGCACAGGTTTTTAAGTGACCTTGGAGTACTTATCCGATCATGGAACCATTCCTTAAGTGTATTTGAGGCATCGCTGCTTTTTGTTAGCCATCTTAAGTGATAGCAGCGACACCCTGCCTCCACTAAAAGCTCAACAGACCTCATCTTGTGGAATTTGTAGGCGAGAACAATTGGCGTGACCTTCTTGGCCTCTTGGCCATTGTTCTCGACTCCCCAGGTCGTACTCGACACATCTAAATCACAGTTAGCATCAATAAGAACTTTCAAAGCAGGGACGTTGTTTTTCCTGATAGCGTGGAATATTGGGGTTTCACCATTGTGCACCACATCGGGGCTCAAACCACATTTCATTAAGGACTGCAGACACTTAGCGCTCTCTGCATTACGGCATGGATTGAACATGTCGAAACATAGATGGGCTGTGGTACTGCCATACTGCTGCATTCTTAGGTGCACGTTGGCACCTGCACTAGTGAGGACATCTACAGCTTCATTGCGCCCATGTTTAATGGCAATCATGAGAGGGGTTCTGCCGTCACTATTGTACTCATTCAAACGTATGTAATGGACAGTTAATAGATATTTCAGAATTTGAGTAGAAAAATCCGTTTCCTTTGGACTGCTGACCGCCACGTGAAGGGGTGTTTGACCGCTACTTCTGATCATATAGTTCACGTTTGCACCTTCTTTTATCAAGAACTTGACCAATTCGTCCCTGTTATTCCTTATAGCGTGCATCAGTGGCGTCTCCAGAAACACTGGGTCCGGTGTGTCTATGGAAACTCCGATGGAGACGAAGTGACGGGTGACGTCCTCAAGGGCTTTGCCGACAGCTTGGTGGAAGGCACATGCGATAAGGAAAGTGTCCCCTACATTTCCCTTCACCAGGCGCGTGATCTCGCCTAGGTCACGACTGGCTATGGCTTCTTCAATTCTGAAAACACACAAATTATAAGTGGATTGTGAATGAGTATCTACTTCAAACATCAAAGCAACTCAACCCTACCTAGATTGTCTTTGTAGTACAGGTCGAAACAGCTCGTGTAAGTCCGGCGACACAAATGACCAATAATGTTAGACACGGACTTTGTACGGGCTTGCCTACGATTCATGACAACCAGAAATCATCCCATTTTTTCCATCACCTTGATCAATCAAAGTTCGACACGGTTCGTCCTTTGGTAACAGTTAGACAGTGTACCAAGATCGAGTGATAGAGTGGATAGACGGCCTATTGTATTTATTGTGTCCACAACTTTGAAACCGACGGAAGGACATACACAATACACTTACAACGTTAACTAATTATATAACCTATATTGCACTTTTCCAAACACTCCGAAATAAGTACGTCTTGCATAGTACATATGAAGTGTATTGTGCATTTAATAGTTAAAAATCAAATACTGTCTAGAACCATGTATCATCAGATCTTACTCCGCAATGAAGTCTCCAGTTTTTGTCCTGGAACCTTTTGCTGCTTTCTTCATCCTCAGAGTTTTCTATTCCCTGTACTGTAGCCTGTCAAAGAAAATAAACAGGTCAACAATGTATATTATGATACAGGTAAATGTGATTAGTGAGGTATACATGTAACAGTAATTGGATTGCTGTCTGCATTATAATTGAACCGCTTTCAGTTAGTACTTAGCGGTTAGCTATGACAATTTCAGTAAAGATGTTGGCAATTCATGGTCAAATTTAATCTTTTTCAGTTGGAATCCATAGTAAAGAGTATTATATAAAGTTAATGTCAAAGGTTTAAAAATAGCTTGCTAGTTTTTGAATGCATGACCTGGAAGCTGGGAGGCAAAAGTCGAGGTATTAATTGTGAAAGAGTTGTCTTTCTTCTAACGTAAAATAAACACTTACATAGAGTATCGAGTGCCACAGTATTTAGATAGATCACATATACACTTACGTAGAGTATCGAGTCGCACAGTACTTAGATAGATCACTAAAACCACAGTCACGTGTTGATTGTAATACATCGAACGAGGCTCCACAAAATGAACCGCACAACTTATCAAAATAGGATGACTGTTTGCTGTTCCATCAGGATACTATAATGGGCAGACTAGCCACAGACTAGCCACAGACTAGCGACAACCACAGCCACAGACTAGCCACTAGCCACAGACTAGCCACTAGCCACAGACTAGCCTAGCCACAGACTAGCGACAGCCACATACTAGCGACAGCCACAGCCACAGACTAGCCACCTAGCCACAGACTAGCCACCTAGCCACAGACTAGCCACTAGCCACAGACTAACCACAGACTAGCCGCTAGCAACAGACTAGCCGCCACAGACTAGCGACAGCCACAGACTAGCCACTAGCCACAGACTAGCCACAGACTAGCGACAGCCACAGCCACAGACTAGCCACTAGCCACATACTAGCCACAGACTAGCCACAACCCAAGTGATCACTGTTTTCTGCTTTCTTGTGTCTTTTTGATTTGGACAATAACAGCGGTGTTTTAGGGAAATGTGACAAACATTTAAATGCCAAATTGATTTTAAACTATCATATAGTTTAATCCTGTTGAATACTTAGCTCAGCTGTTGTTTGTGGATCTTCACAGCAATTTGAATTGCAACAGAAGTAGGGAGAAACTGTGCTTTGTGAACATGATAATGACTTTATTTTAGGGGTTTTTCCTTGGGAATTGGCAGCTCCGATAATGCTTTGGTTGACTAGCACTTTTTATTCATTAATTTGTTTTTGAATAGAATACTTGATATCCCATGTACAAAAATTAATATAGACCAAATTGTTTATCTTCCTACGCTTTGAATGGCTTCCAAAACTCTGAATTTATTTAACAACCAAATGACTGCATCAACTAGATAATAAAGACAACTCATCAAAACATCGATCAGTTTTCATTGTCAGATATCTATTATATTAACAAAATTTCAATATGAAATTTCGAGTTACTTATCATACGACCACCACTACCATTCGAGTATTTTTTTCATTGAATTACTGATGCTAAAGCATATTGCTACATGTAGTTCAAATATGTTGGATTGAAACCTTATTCAGTTTTAACACAAGCAGTTTCAGGACTGAATATATTGATGGACTATAAATGCCTCATCATAGATCTGGTGTATTTGGCGATTACACTAGCACTCCGTAATCTACATTACCTAGCTAGGCTAAGGCACAGCTAAGTGATCAGTAATTGACATTATACTCGAAAGATTTCAAAATTTTACACAAATTTCTATTGATAGGACATCGTGCATGACTCGGACATTCAGCATTAAGCTGTCGTTTCTTGTGAGGAAACTGGACTGTGAAATCGGCTCATTATAGCTATTTAAATAGATCAATTGACCAAATTAATTTACAGAAACTTCAATTAAGAAAATATATCACTTTTTAGCTAGGAAAGTCAGCATTAGCTTGGGCTAAAATAAGATAATGTATGCACGTTTTTGTATCTTCCCTACACTACCCTTACCTACACCATACACTCGTGTTATAAAGGGATTTCTACCACAATACGATGTGTTATTCCACTCTCAGATCATTGTATAAACACGCAGACTGTGAGATAAATATGAGGTATATACCACACGTGGTATATGACCGTCAAGAGTTTTGATTGGTCGAGAAAATGAACTTTGACCGGGACGACTTTCCACGCGCTTTTTGCCACATGCTGTTTTGTTTACGTCGTCTGCTGTCAACATCCGACAAATGTTGGTGACTTTGTGTGGTTATGCGTTATATTAAAAGAAGATGATACTTAAAGACTTGATCGCTATAGTTTCAGGCAAAATTGCCACAAACGCTCGATATCGTTTCGACGTCACACCGTCGCATGTTCAGGTCGTAAAACCAAAACAAGATCTTTCACAATGTCGGGAAATATTTCGTTCTCCCAACATCTCGTTATCGATATTTGGACGGTCTGACTATATGGCTGAACTTTCACTATAAACGTCAACAATAGAACCGTCACGAAGAAACGTAGGCCTACGGTCTTGGACATTGACAGCGATAAGTTCGTATTCATCACTTGGCGGGAGGCAGACTTCGTACGATATGTTTACGCGCATATAGTCCGTGGTTAATTTATATAAATTAATGCAATACTGCTATTCTCAATATTTAAAGTCGTTCATCTGTTATATTTTTTCATAAAGTTGTTGCCGAAACATTAATTTTGACAATTATAAAAGTAAAAAAAAGTCATTTTTGAATATCAATGAGTGACTTTTTACATATGGGTCATACCACTACGCCAATCTTGCCAAAAACACATGATGAGATTGTGGTAGAAACAGATCACACGACTCGTGGTTGTTGAGTATGGTATTTATTTCACTCTCGTTAGTTAATTTTCAAAAGTTACAGAAACTTTTGAAAATTAACTAACTCAGTGAAATAAATACGATATTCAACAACCAGTCGTTGTGTAACCTCTATACATGTGTTTGAAATAAAATAATTTATCCGGTGTGTTTAACTTAAATAAGGAATCTAGACTAGTCTAAATTATTTTAATTTTTTTAGTTTAGTAAAATTAATGAGTGTGCAAATCACTCAACAATCAAGTTCAGTAAATAACACGCACATTTAAATTCATTTTAAACGGGTCTGTGGAAAAAAAACAACATTAGTTTGTTTTTTTGGGGTTTTTTGGGGGGGGGGGGGGGTTGTGTACAGCCGATTCACGAGTGCTTAATTTCATTTGTTTTTACAAATTGATTTTCATTAGGGATGTCCAGTTATTGTGAAGATATACATTTTCAGTTTATGGTGGCCGATGAAATTAAAAATGTGATGCTAATTTTATAGTATATGTATACGTACACTAGTATCAGAGACGCTTACGTCTTTACTAAACCTGTTCTGTGATTCCTTCTTCTTAAAGAGTCTTCTCTGATAGAACTTACCTGTTAACTCATGACCGTGTTGAGATAAGTTGGAAGATAGGATAATATACTTGGAGGGAAGATAAGTACTATCAACTGTGATACATGTTCTCGTTCAGGTATTTATCTCAAAAAGACCATAGAGACAGAGAATGTGTTACAATGTACAGCATACCTATATTTGGACCTAAACTAATGTGTCCAGTCCCTGTGAATTTGTTATATTGTATCTATATTTTGACCTAAACTGATATGTATAGTACGTGAGAATTTGCTATATTGTAGCTATATTTGGACCTAAACTGATATGTATATAGTACACGAGAATTTGTTGTATTGTAGCTATAGTAAGACCTAAAATGATGTGCTCAGCACTTGAACATGTTCAGTACTTGAGCATTTGAAACAGTGTAGTACTGTAGTTATATAAACTTGGACCTTGATAACAGCCACACTTGTGAGCCTATTTAGGCTCAGGTTAGTAGGTAACTCATGTGGTAAAGAAGGCTTATACACAGATATATTACAGACAACTATAGCAGGAGCCTTATTTCTAATACGGACACATACTTGAGTTTAGTGCGGGATACATTATTAGTATAATGAACATATTATGTTAACGTCAATGCCAAAGCCATGTTTCTATATTTATCTCAAACACTGAACGGAAGCCTGCGATAGGGCTTGGCCCGGAACATCTCGACTAAATATACAATGTAGGCCAGGATAGATAAGTTGTTTTATTATGTATATTTACCAAACAAACCCCTAGGAAAGTTAAACATTTCAGTAAACATCTAAATCGAATCTTAAATTAATGTTCTGATCAAGGCCCCAGTAACACGACACGTCCCGTATCAGTGATCTTGTGATATTATCATCTGTTGGGGTCACTTCCACATCGCAATGCGAGACTATTGATTAATTGTAGATATCGTCAACGAAACGAAAACTGTCCTACTTCATGGAAGATTATATACTCACCAAGGATACCCACGTCCAGCTATTCCTTCGTCGTCATGTCTACCCTGTCCGAGGTAGGCCTACCATGTTAACTTATCACCAGCTATCTATTTTACTTCCGTCAAAGGGGAGATAACTGCAAATAGAAGATATATTGTGGTAGCACACAACTAAATAGGTGATAACTTATGCTATCATATGTTTGGAAGAAATCACGTTCAAATCATTTACCAAATACACTATTACGAGTTCGGGATGGTGCATGGAATTAATGTCTACTAATAGCTGATGTTTACTGATCATGACTACCCTGTTCGATAAATATTACACATGTAACACGTTAACGGTTTGGATTTCCAGGTGGTGTGTGTTGATACACCGATAGGTTAGAGTTATCTCTCTTGGGTCATTGAAGAAGACATGTTCATTCCCTACAAAGAGATAGTGCCCCTAACCTAATATGTTTTCCTCCATGTAAAATATTTATTTATAGTAACTCATATTAGCCCGAGCACTAATAATTCCGTGTATTTCACTGATGAAGAAGTCTGATTTTCATCGTTTCCATGCCCAAAGTAGAGGACACAACAGAAATTACCCAATTCTTCAGGGGATTCCCACATTCGTCACCTTTTACGGTTTTTTTTCAAAATTAAATCCCATCCTGCACAAATGCAATTCCAATGCTGAGCTGTGAATGTAAATGAAAAAAGCTTTGATTACACGTCACATTTCACACAAAATTAAGATTGTTTGAAGGGAACAGCTTTACCAATGACAATAGTTCACATTGTTCTCAACACATGATTATCACATTTCCTCCATCTGTCTTTTATTTGAAGAAAATATTCATGAGTCAAAAAAGAAAATCTACACTGACATGTTCCGAAGGGAAAAACTCAATACATTTTACCACAAAGTGTTATTAGAGTTGCAATTCAGCTTTATCCTCCCCCAGCCCATAGATATGCATGATAACACTCTTTAATTTCAATAAGGTAAATATAACAAGTATACCTCTCCATGACGATAATGTGTTGCTGACGTCATTAAATTGTTACTGTAATTAATATGTGTTTTCCCCATCTGTACGCAATACAAAATTTATAATGTTAAGGGGTAAATACAAGATTAATATATGATAGTATGCATTATACTGAGGAGAATGGTATACCTGGCATGCTACTGATGATTGATTTTCAGAAGGCATTTGATTCAGTGTCTTGGTAATTTATTGAAAAAGTTCTACTTCTCTTTGGTTTTGGTAATAGCATTGTAAACTGGTTTAAAACTTTACATAATAATGTCCATTCAGCTATAAATCAGGGGGAAACATATATCCATTCTTTGATATCAGGAGGGGCTGTCTACAGGGGGATTCAATCGCACCGTATCTGTTTATTCTTTGTGCAGAGGTTTTGGCTACAAAATTGAGAAATAATAGAAATATCAAAGGTATCGAGATTGAAAGTTGCCCTATTTTATTATCACGATATGCCGATGACTCTTCACTTTTACTTGTTGGCTCTGAGAAATCACTAAATGAAGCAGTGAAAGAACTAAATGAACTTGCAAAAAAATCTGGTTTAAAAATGAACATTGATAAAACTCAGGTAATATGGATTGGTAGCAAAAAAGTATAGTGAAGATTGCTTTTTACCTGAACTTAATTTGGGGAAAAGAAATTTACGTTATTAGGAATTTAATTTAGTGTGAACCTTCATGAAATACCCAAACTTGACTTTGACAAAAAAACCTCATCAAACTAAATTCTCTAATAAAAATTTGGAACAGAAGGTCATTAACACCTATTGGAAAAATGTACATGATCAAATCATTGCTCATCTCTCAATTCAATCACCTGTTTATATCATTACCTAATCCAGATGATAGATTTATTTACAAACTCAACTCAATATCATTTGATAACTTATGGAGTGGAAAACCAGACAAAATTAAAAGAGAGATAATCATTCATAATTATGCTGATGGTGGTTTGAAGATGATCAATCTTGTTGCATTTATAAACTCTCTAAAACTTACTTGGATCAGAAGACTCTATCAGAGTACTGAGAAATGGCAGGCCATACTTGAAACTTCTATTGACATAGATCTTCTTGCAAATTGTGGTTCTGAATATATTCAGATATGTGTAAATAAGTGTAAAAATAAATTCTGGAGTGATCTTCTCAAATCATGGTACACACTAAATACAAAATATTATGATAAAATTCTTCAGGAAAACATATTGAAAGTTCCCATTTGGTATAATAGTAAAATCAAGATATGAGGAAGAGCTGTTTTTTATAAAAAAAAATATTATCAGAAAAAGATTTTTATTATAAATGATATAATAAAGGAGGTTAGCACATGTTTGTTTTACACATTTGTAGAAATTATTAAAAAATACCAAGTAAACACATTTTTTTTTACAGTATTAGGGTCTTGTCTCTGCAGTTAAAGACTTTATTTCATCATATAATACATACAGACATAAGACAATCTATCCCTATATACCTATCAATTTAGACATTTTTCTTAGAGATAAAAAGGGGTCAAAATGTTTTACAACATCATACAATGTAATAAAATCGGCCCAGATACCATCCGGCACCAGAAAGTGGAATACTATATTCGACAACATGGATAGACTAACCTGGTATAAAATATACAAAACGCCATTCTGTGTAACAACAAATACAAAACGTCAGTGGTTCCAGTATAGAGTGATTCATCATGTACTTTTGGAGTAGTTGTCTTCCCTCTTTGTGTACTATGCAACTCTGAACCAAAATCAATTACTCATATATTAAGGGAATGTGAAGAGGTAAAAAGATTACTACAGGAAGCTCTTTTAATCCCATTTTCAGTAAACATTTTTTTTTTCTTTTTGACCTTTTTCATCAGAATTTTCTACCCAGCAATCGAGTAGATAATAAAATCATCATCATTATAAAGCAGTATATTTACAGAATGTGATGTTTGCATAACTCATTAAATATGAACGCTCTTGTAAACATAATAAAAGACAACTATCTGATTCAAAATTACATTGCTAATGGTAAGGATGAAAAAGCTAAACATAAATTTGATGACGTACTCTATCATACATTTTTAATTTCTGCTTCTTTTCGTTGGTAGGGAATATGGAATCTGCGATAGCCCCTCACAGAGCCGATATATTATCTTATTATTCTATTTATAATATAACATACAGGAGTGTATATCTTGTACCACCATCTCACCCCGACTTATCCTACCTTTCTTCTCCCTTCTCTTTATGTTCTCTGTTCTCCCTTTCCTTTTATTTTCTCAGCCTCTATCTCAATTCTTTTTTTCTTATAAAGACAATGCAATGTACTCAGTAGACGGTCTATGCAAATTTCTCATTTAGCTTAGATTTTTTTTGTGTTCTTCCCTTTTTTTGTGTGAGACTGATATTTCTTCTCCTTGCATTTATATATCCATAATCAGTAGATATACGAATGTCTGAAAATGTAATATAATGCATATGGGTATGTATGCGTACAGCGCATGTGAGTATGGTGAAATCATATTAATCATCTTTATACATGGACATGGTGTTTTTGACATGGACATGAGTAAGGCAGTATGTGCGGTAATATATAATTTAGCGCAGATTTTCTTTTCTCTTTTCCAACACGAAGATATATACCATATGTGATGAAGGTGGATATGACTGTGTTCTATTTTTTTTACATGAAACATAGCATTGACTATGTGAGTAATAAAATGTTGAAATGTAAAAATAGACGGAAATGAGTATGTAAGTTTGTTCTAGTTTGTGATAGTGTGGATACATATGAGAATCCTGAAAATGTATGTACTCTTTGACAAATGTCGACATAACAGATATAGGTGTATGTTTGTATGTGCCAGTATACAAATGAGTGAATGATTTGCTATTTATTGTACATGAACATTGCATTGATGAAAAATCTGAATAAAAGATAATTATAAAAAAAAATGTATAATCGTTTCTCCCGCACTTCACAGCTGCATTCCTGTTTGTGTTACGGAAAACGTTAACCTGTCTGTACCGACCCATAGGAAGACACGCAACACACGCTGTTATTCTGAACATGTCATCACTTTATGCAGCGAACCTAGGGTCACTTCATAATTTCTGTGGCACTTTTTGTGCCCTCGGAACTCTGGCAGAAAAATAACAAGTTACACAGCCCTCTGGATAAGAAGTGGGAAGTGTACACTCAAAGCCTCGTGCTTGGCTTCAATTGTCTCGCCATCGGATTTAGATTTCTCTGTATTCATTACACAGAGTAAATGACTTAAAAATGTTTCCAGATAGTTGAAATCCCTAACCTCCCGTCCAATGAGTGCATTATTATTTCCTCTTATCCTGTTTACCCTATAAACAATGCAACACTGACGTTACAGGGCCAACACGTTGATGGTGCTACTCCATGCAATTGTTGTAACTGAGTGATTCCCTCGTCTCAACCCTGAGATTCAAAAGAGAGGTTATTGTGTAATTGTTCGATATCTCATCCCAGATTAATTCAAGCTACGTACATCGGTCACACGCACTGAAGTCATGCAGGCCTGACATAAGTCGGGGACGATAGTGTTTAGGTCTGCCCAAGCTGAGAGGGGCATCATCGAACATTTGTGTTGTAAGATTGTCCGTCAGCATTCGACAGCTATCTAGGAATTTGTGATATTCAGAGCAACCCCGTCAATATCTATTCAACTGCAACAAGTAACATTAAGAAGGGATAACAAAAGACACCCTTTTTTGAATTATCCCTTCTTAATGTTACTTGTTGTAGTTGAATAGATATTGACGGGGTTGCTCTGAATATCACAAATTCCTAGATAGCCGTCGAATGCTGACGGACAATCTTACAACACAAATTTTCGAAGATTTCCGGTTGATGAAAACTATAAGCAAAATGACTAATCGCCATCATGATATCATTGGGAGATTATATGTTACCCCGTGGGATATGAATAGCAATTTTTGATTATGCTTCAGTACACTATCTCGTTTGGTTTGTATACTAGTTCGTTGGTGAGTAAATACGGAAACGTAACTGTAATCTGCGAACTCAAAATCAATGCAACCATGATGAAA